TAGTAGTAGTAGTAGTAGTAGTAGTAGTAGTAGTAGTAGTAGTAGTACTGGTAGTACTGGTAGTAGTAGTAGTGGTGGTGGTGGTGGTGGTGGTGGTAGTAGTTTGTAGTACTAGTAGCACTAGTAGTCATAGCACTAGTACTAGTAGCACGAGTAGTACTAGTGGCAGTAGTAGTGGTAGCAGTCGTAGTAGCAGCAGTAGTCGTACTATAGTCAGCAATAGTGGTAGTGGCAGTCGGAGCAGTAGCAGTTGCAGTGGCAGTCGCAGTGGCGGCAGCAGCAGGAGCAGGAGGAGGAGGAGCAGTGCTAGCAGTAGTAGTCGTCGTCGTGGTAGTGGTATAGTGGTAGTGGTAGTGGTAGTGGTAGTAGAGGAGTAGTAGTAGTAGCAGCAGCAGTAGTAGTAGTGGCAGTAGTAGTAGTAGAAGTAGTAGTAGTAGTAGAAGTAGAAGCAGTAGTAGTAGCAGCAGCAGCAGTAGTAGTAGTAGACCAGCCACGTCTTGAGCTTGTTTGGAAGATATGTTTCAGATACAAGTGGGGCACTGGTTTCGCAGCACAGGTTCGTCTACATTTACGTTATCGTTTGGTTATCGTTTAGGTTATCGTTTGACTACAGCTACATTTCCGACAAACCTGTCGCCAAACTCCGAAGTCAAAAACGGCTTTGGGAAGGCTACACTAAGCAGAAACGAGGTTCCCTGATGGTCTTCATGGTTAAAAAGATGTACTGCAGCTATGCAAAATAAGCTTTCCTAGAATTGAACATGATGCTATCAATATGTTATCGTTTCAGTGTATTATCGTTTTCCAAGTAAAATGCAAATTATGCAATCCCAATGTCGGGTCCTTTACTAAATAGCTTTCCGTACATAAATCAGGTTGCTCATATGAAAAACCAATGTTTGACTATGACGATCGTTGGATCCCAACAGCATTTTTTGACATAAGTTTGCAACAACAGCGACGCCGTCTCTGTTTTCTACCCTGGACACGTCCGGATACGTACACATGACCAACAATGACCTCAACTTGACCTTTATTTTTGTGCACTCGACGAGAGCTTCTACTATGCCTGGAAAGAAAAACACGCTTGGAGTCTGCACCTGCGCTGAGCATTGGCAAAGAACTTGTTTGATATGTTCGAGGTTCGGCCCATGGTTTGGCAATCCTTCTCTTCATCACTTGCAAGAACCCAGATTCTGCCTGAGGACCCTGATCTATTGACTCTCTTGCGCAGTGGTGTCCAAATTCTGTCTCCAAGCCCTTTCTCAATGATGAGCCTATCCAACGAAAACAAGTTCTGGAGTTGATAAACTGTATGAAAGTAGATGAAAACCGCTACAGTATCAGAGTAGGCCATTGATACTGTGTTTTCTTCATGTCTTTTTCCGAACTGCCACCTGTGACCTCACAAAACAGGGGAAATGTGAAACACAAGAGAAACATGACGAAGTGACTGCAACCATGCAATGAACACATTGGTCCAAAATGGTCCACATGAAAACCCATGTCAAACCCCTCTTGTTGGTGACCAACATGTGTCTGTTGTGGTACACATAAGCTGACCTTGACTTGCTCTGCACGCTTGGCAGAACACACAAATGGTCAAGACTAGCAGGTGAAACATGGTTGCTCACAGCGGGAGGAAGACTGGACAACATGTCAACAAACAACTGTCAGATGGACAACAACAGTTTCACAAACATACATACTGTTCATAGATCTCCTGTTCTCCAGTCTGCACTTATAAAACATCTTGTTTCTAGTGAACAACAAAATTAGAAAAAGTCTTTGGTTTCACCATGTTTAACATTGTTTACTCATTAAGTTCTCGGGACTTGTCCTCTCTGAGTCTTATCCAGCGCCCCTGGTAACCGGCGTCCCTCAGCCTAGCATCCAGGGCCTAAGCTGACCCAGCTTGACCCAGCCAAAACTCGGACGGATTGAGCATGGTCTGTCTGGGTCCGCCCCGCCCAAATAGGGACCTCTAACTACTATGCACGCGGTCCCTATTGGTCCGACTGGACTGGCGGCGACTGCTTGAACCACCATAACTATCTATGGATGGTCATGAGTCATGACAAATATAGATAATGATGATAATGTATGACTAGAGTCACTGTATATGTACGAGTATGTGTAATCATGTGTCTCCGAAGAGTCAGCGGCAGTGGGGAGACCAAACCTCCAACCATGGAAGGTTTTGCCCATCTTCGGTCCCCAAGGTGCGACGAAAACGGCCATCGAACACCTGCTTCTTTCGATCGAATGGATGCATGGGGACTGTGATCGGATTTACATGACAAACATGGGAAGCACAAATAGAAGATCGAACATCTCCACAACAAAATAATTACCCACAAATTAAACAAATGCCCCCGATCAACACCAGCATATAAACCACATAATAGCCTACTTATAATATATATATATATATGATATGATATGATATGATATGACTAATACAGTATATTGACATTTGTAACATATATCATACCTTTAACCTGTGTGATCCCTATTTTGGGCCACCAACCGCTCAAAACACCGTCTCTTTTACCCATCAAGACAAAGGTGATGTGTGGAGAACTGCTTCGACGCTTCAACGTCCGTTTTCTCAGGGCTCGGCTCCCGGAACTGCCGGTTCCAAAGAGAGCCACCTGGAGGCGACTGGTGTGTCCGACGCACGTGGTGTGTTTATATATATATATACAGTATATGGACGGTGGATGAACATACCTTTTGAGGGTCAAGCATCTCTTAATAGGGGCATTTAAGCAATTGACTGTAATCATCAGCCATGCGGCTTGTGCTCCAGAAAGCTACATGGCTAAAACCGTGAATAGGCCACTGGCTAAAACCGGCACAGCAATGTTCCATCTACAAGAGAAGAATCAAAGGCCAGCCAAATTCGTTATATTGTCTTTGCAAATTCGGAAGTCTTGGAGTGAGAGTTTTACCATGACTTTTGCCCAGTGACGGCCATTTGTTGATACCTGTTCTGTGGGCCAGCATCCCATGACTATTTTGATGTTCATGTTCATGTTCCCACACAATCCATGTGAGTGTAGGATGTGGCCCACTCATCACGATTTTTGAGAAAGGCCTTTACTAACAGTCGTCATCCACTGGTAATGGGTCGTAATGGAATATACAGCAAGTAGCATGTAACTTCTGAATATTTGTGATTCGTCTCCAATATGTCAGCCGCGGCACCCACCTGGAGTGCCGGCTCAGGCGCAAAGATTCATCAGCTAAGTAGATCGATTATGAGACAACACGAATCACACTGCCCCTGCAAATCCCTTCATATCACCCATATCTGGCGATCGGAGTCCTAAGAAATCACCCCAAAACACCACCGCACATCACCTGGTCAGAGGCTTGCACGTGCGTTCATGTGAGTCTGGCTGTTCATGTGTGTCAAGAGGTAGGAATGTCATGTTTGAATGGTGTTTTCTTGTCGATAGGAAAGTAGGTGAAGGCCACCTAATTCCTGAACTATTGGCCGATAGTGCAAACCTTGGAAGCGAACAACCAACCACTGCTCTTCCCGTCTGAAAGAGACCTTGCAAATGAACATGCTGACAACATCCTCCCACCCGAAGAATCCGGGCCCGAAGCAACGCGTAGGGTTTAGGTCCCGACCCCTGCGAAGTTGTCAGATCCGACCCCCGCCATGGTTTTGAGATATCCCAGACATTCCCAGAGACACTCCATGGGACTGGTATAGATGCCTACCTTGACCCCTAAAATCCAACCACCCCTATGGCAGTATGGTCAATATGCCAGTCCCATGGGTCGTGTCTGGGTATTTCGATCCTCTTCGATGCCCAGTGAACACCGGTGTCCCGCACCTTTCGGCACGCCCTCCCAGGTCGGCAGCAAGTCGTCCTCGCCTGAAGGTTCCGGTTTGATGTTTTCCTCAAACATCCTACAACCCTAGACTACTACATTCCATTCTGTAAAGACACAGAATGGACCATCATCCTTCCAGCGGTTGACCGCAGTAGGGCAGCACCTGATAAAAGGTGATGCTCAACCTCTTTGGGAGCTTTCGTTGAGAAAGGCAAATGAAACAGAACCGTTAGAGACTGCAGGTATGATATGAGATTCTTTATGAGCCTTGAAACTTTCAGAGGCATCCCGCCTCCCGCTCATTTCAACCAAGAACGTGTATCTGCACCTGATGTCCACTCAATGGCTGCATCTTAAGCTTCGCCTGTTGGTTCTTCGGTTTGTCTTTGGGCCTTTAAAAGCATCAATTGCAGCCTGTTTCTCTCAGATCGGATCCAACGAATGTCCGCTTGGCAAAATGTGCTCGTGCTAAAAACATATGTACCTCTTCTTAGCCCTTGGCTCAGACCTGGATGTAGTTGGATGTCGTGCAACGAGTCACAAAAGCTGTGCACGGGTCATTCCAAGCATGGGTGATTCCCATTCGATGACCCTGGTTCGATGACCCTATTTGAAGAGAAGTTCTATTCTATTTGTTGCTCAAGCATTCTATTGCTTTCAAGCTGCTGTGCAAGTCATCTTCCATCTCTTCCTCCTCCGTTTCCTGACAGCAAACATTTATCAAATCAACGACTGTAGCCCGGTAGAGCCCACTCTTGCATTGCTAGGGACCCTGCCCCATCCTTGCAAGAGCAAATGACTATAATAAGAGGCCAAACCACATAGCTATGCTGAAAGGATGGCTCAACATGGTGGGGCAGCTCCCAAGCTAATTCTATCCATATCATCGATACAACAGAACATGTTCTACAAACAGATCACACATACATTCCAGTGTAAACATATGCATGCAGTGTTGTTGCATGTATTAGGGAGCACTAAAGGCCAAAAGACAAAGTGATTTGCTGCACGAGATTCAATTCATGGCACAAATCCAGGATCAATCGTGATCTAAATTCTTTTGGGCCACATGGAGCTCATTCGGCCCATACTATGTGTCAGAAGAAAAGGTCCAGAGAAGCACCGCTTCTTCCTACCACAGCCAACTTGCAATCATCAACACCCCCCCCAATGCCCGAATTATGGGCTACTACATGGCCTTTGTACGTACAGTACAGAGTAAATTCAGGATTTTTAGTGTCCGTAAAGTTGCCAAGACCACCTCTTCCACCCCAAAAACAAAACGACTTGGATGACCCTAAACAAAATCCAGACCTCCTGCAAGTTCTCATTCTCTTCTTCACCTCAGAACGAGATCTGACAGAGAAGGTTTCACAAGCTACAATCTCTTTGTTCCGACACTATAGGACCACTGGAATTAAGCATGATGTTCAAGTCATGTCTATTCAAATATTCAGGGGATGTACTTTCTAATCTATTCTAGAATCACTGTGTCTTGGTCTTTGGCCCTTGGGACAAGCCACTCCAGCCTCGCAGCTCAGCACTGGAGTGAGTGTTCGGACTGGAAACTTCATAGATCTTTTGCGGGCCGCAGAAACAGGTCACCATGTGATATTCAAGTCTCCTCATGTTTTGTTTGAATTACTGTACTCCTATGATCACCTATGTATATTAAAATGTCCGATGGACTAACCTACATATGATCTCCCGTTTGCTCTTCCCGTTGCTGACCGGATATCCAGTTAGCCTTGGTCCGGGGAGAGTCGGTCCGGTGAACATCTCCGTTGCCATCCGCCAACCGAAGCAGAAGCCTCTGAGGTCCGGAACAGTTGTCCTGCATCTCCCGTTGGAAGGCAGAGTCTTCTAAGAACCTCAGGGAAGAAAAAAATCCATGGATCAAAACGGAGAAGTGGAGCAACCAAATCTACCATTTCTATGCTGATGTGTTTTTTTTGCTTTATCATGGTTGTCATCCCCATTTCTCCGACCAATTGAATCCGCGTTAGAGACCCGAGCACATGAAGACCCGAGCCTACAAAGCTGGTCAATTGTCTCTTAGTCTGTGGCGTCAACTAGCTGGATCATGATGGGTCATGACTCGGACCTACTGATCAGCTACTAAGCGTTTGGCTACCCTGCAGTCTGCTGGGACAAGCTTCCTACTGGAGGACATGTCTGCAAGAAACTGGCACAACGGTTGGTCCCGGCACACCCGGATTCGACCGGTGATCAACTGCCGCTGACTGCGGAAGCTCCACCGGATGCTTCCGGTGTTTGCCCAGAAACGAGTTGAAGAGCGGGATCCAACAGCTCGTCAAAGCCGCATAGTTGGCATAACCTGGAGACTCTGGACTGTCCGTTGCATTGGGAGTATGACCAATCAAATTAGATTGAGGATGATTGAGGTAGGTAGTAGACAAAGGCATCACATGTTCGTGGAACATAAGATTGGGGCCAACAGGGGTTCAACTGCTTCTATGCCTAAATTTGCCAGCAGGAGTGCATGTGGAGGAGGAATGGCCACATCATTCTTCTGCGGCCACATCACGCTTGAGACACTCAATGGCTTCGGGGTAACTCTTTCGGAAACCATCAGCCATTCCTCCTTGAGGAATCCGGAAACGACGCAGCAACCACCACGGTCACCCCCAGGCCACAGACCTGTGAGATAGCGGGTTCGGCTTAGCACGATGAGATACCGAACATCCCAACATCCCACTCCACTGAACATCCAAAAATCTCCCAACCTCTCCTGGGTCAAACCCGAAAGACCCGAAAGACCCTAAACCCGAGACGGCCCGTTTCACCGCGGCGTTGGTCGCCCAGGTACCACCCTTGAACTCATCATAGAGCTCACGCTCCTCCTGTAGTTTCCGGAGCTGGGACGTGATGGAAATCATCGGAAAAACAACGAAACAAAGAAACGTTTTTGCCCAGAAATCAACACCCAAACACTCCATGAATTGATATTTATGGTTCATTTACAAACATTGGGATGGTTTTCCTGGGTCCATACCTAGGTACTGTAAATGTTCAATACATTGATATGGACTGTTTGGGGGGGAAGGAGATGTCAAGGCTGAAGAGAATGGAACTGATGTTTTGGACGTAAAAAAAGTCTGGTTTCGGGTTGCTGCAGTCCATTCATGTGGGTGAACGTCTCAGTTTGACCTGGGACGGGAAGTGTGGAACGAGGGAGGGAGATCCTGATTCCTGATCTTGAGGCATCCATATAATCGCCCATATTCGTGTCACTGTTGCTTGGCTTGCGATGAATGATCGTTAGATGATGGGTGAGAACTTCGTATCAAATAAAGCCTCTCTAGGAATACCGGAAAAAACAGGTGGGACAACCATGGACCATGATCACCTCCAAATCTGCACTGCATGTTCTTGAGATTCTGGAAAAAATATTCCGTGAAGGCACCGCAAATGTGGTCAGCTTGACCATCAGGGAACAGGATTGACTCAACCCATTCAGAACTGACAAACCACCTAACATGAGGGTTTGAAACCTGGCCAACGTGCGACAACCTCCGCATGATTTGGTTCATACTTTCGATTTTATGGTGTTGATGCCGGCTGTTGTGACTGATGTGCAATTACACTAAATGGCACAGTTACCACTGGACCTGTCCCTAATTATACCACTAGCACAGTCACAAACATCCCTGGCCGTACCTGGAAATCAGTCGGTCCTCCAAGGAGATGTGGAGCAGGGAGGCCCAAAGAACAAAGCTCACGAGCACCAACATCACCGGGTTGCACAAGGCGATCTGCGCAATGAGTTTGTCGTTTTTGATTTCACATCGGCGGTGCAAATAAAAAAACACCGGGTCGGAAACCACACGCTTACTTGGGTGAATTGTTCACAAAAGGCCGAGGTTAAAACATGTTGTAAACATGCAGTGTTTGGAATTCAAAATTACTTGATTATACGCAGTCTGATTTTGTTTCTACAAATACACTGTGCGTTTGATGAGGCAAGCAAGAGACGTTTTGTGTTTTTGTGTATCTCGTTTTGTTGATGAAATTGGACGAAACCGGCCCGGTTTCCCATCGTAACAGCCCCGGAACAACTCCGAGAGTTTTCTTGTTCGCACTTCAGCCACCGCACCGTTTTGTCCCGGTTCGCTTTAGAAACCGCGTGCGTGCGGTAGTACGTCTTCGGAAGTCTCAAACATTTGTTTTGGTGGAAACATACCTTCGCATCTGGCTTCGCACGCCATCACGAAACAAGTTTTTCTGCAAAAGGTGCCTTCGCGGTTAAACTGGTGTTATGTGTTGCCTTTGCGACACGAGTTTGCGAACCTTTGTGGAACACGCAAAAGCAAGGATTGTTTGCCCACGCAAGTTGCCTTCGCAAAACAAGGTGGTGCATCCGCGATTTGCCTTCATATGCCTTCGCACGTGCACAAAACTGTGAAAATTGCATTTGTGGGCTGTGATGACGTTCCACTTTCGTATAATTTTTTACGTTGCCAACAAAAATGTTGGTCACTTGGAGACGAGAAGTGCAACTGACAACTTCAAATTCTTTGTTCAATTTGGGATGACGTTGATCCAAGAAAAGTTGACACGAAGGCTTTCATCGCATCAATGCCACCAGTGTGGATGTTCACCCGTTTGCTTCCAAACCGACTCATTTTGGAAAACTCACCACGGGAATGCTTCACACTGAAGTGGTGCATTTTGACGAAGCCAATCCATTGAAAAAAACGGTAAAAACAATCAACGCACCAAAACATCTTCCGAACATTCAAAACTAAGCTGAACCTTGCGCCGCTTACTGATGAGCTGGGGAAACTCTTACAGCCAGCTAGTCGCATCAACAGCAGCAGGCCCAGGAATATGTCGAAGCTATATGATCTATATGAACTAAATTCCTCATACCTAGACCCTCACAAGTCACAAGGCACTAATTTTTGCCGTAGGCTGTTGTTGAGGCATTTGTTTGCGGTAACTCATTTGTGTGCTGCAGCTCAATCCCTGGGAAATGAAAACGCCGAAAACGCCGTCAGAAAAACGGCATCACACAAGAAGAGCCGCCGTTTTTTTATCTACCAAAGCGGATATTGTTTTGGTCCGTCCATACCCTGAAATTGCCTTCTCTTTTTCACTTGCAAGTAGAGCTCATCCTTTTCAAACCTCATGGTAGCACTTCTCAAGAGGTTACTGTCCTTGTCTAAGGTCTCGATTGACATCACGGCATGGTTTGTTCACATTTTGATCACGCAATGGCTGAAAGGATCGGTTGTGACAAGTCTTGCTGCCACCTTGAGTGTTCTTCGGCGAGGGTGCGGGGAACAACGCCGTAAGTAGGAGGAAAATGCCGCAAGTGCGGGGAAAAACAACTGCAAATACGGGGAAAAACGCTGCAAGTACGGGTGAGAACGCTGTAACTTTAAATGCTAAATCTTCTGCAATGCCACGCAAGAGGTCGAGTTACTCACGAAAACCGACGAAAACCCAGCATGTGACACTTCCATCAGCTTCCCTTTCCACTTCACACGACGCATGGAATTTGCTGATATAATTAGATGCCTGTTACGTTCAATTGCCTTTCAAGCAGGACCCTATAATATCTGCATACTCGACTGTACTAAAAGGAAATGACTCTTTGAGGCACATGGATGTCTGGACTAAAATTGCCGTCAACTGACCGAAACTCCCGCAGTTCATCAAGAAACGCCGTCCCCATGAGATCAATATGGAAGAACGCCGCAAGACGCCAGAAAGGCGACGTTTCATGAAAACGGCCATTACTATTTCCGTAACGAAGTTCCGGGTATTAATTGTAACTTCACAACGGTGTTTTTCACATCATCTGTTCTCATTCATGTTCGGTTCCCGCTCCGTCCTCCTGACAGAAGCTCCTTTTTGGAGTCGAAGAGGAGTGGTTTGCACAGAAGTTCAATGGATGCTGTTGCTGTCTGGCTCATTGACTGGCCGAGCAAATCCCAAGTGCTGGACAGTTGAGACAGTTGTTAGTTTGAGACGGTGGCATCTAGCGTAATAATTTCTCTAATTTCTAGCGCTGGAGCTGATAACGACAGCCGTACTTGTGGCTGACAAAAAAGAAATCAACATCACGGCACATGTTTGTTCTGATTTCTAGAAGCTGTTGGCCATATATATATATATTTATATATATATATATATGTACATCCATAGATTGATTGATGACAATGTTGTGAAACTGATGAACATGTCGTGAAACATGACACCCACGTCCCCGCCCCCAATCCATTTTAATCACACGACTGATCGATGACAATATCCACACACAGATGGCAGCATCAATACATCGATGACAATGCTGTGAAATTGAATGAAATTGATGAACATGTTGTAAAGTCGATTCCATTATCTAATTGTGAATTTGATGACAATGTTCTCCACATGACATCGTCATTCCAGCACAAACCAACAATCGTGTCTTCTCGTCCATGAGTCCATGGCCAAATTTCAAGTGAGTGTGAACATGAACAGCACTGCACGTTTGGCTTCTGACCCAGTGGCACAAACATATCCATTGGGATGCAGAATTAGTATGGGCATGTATGGGCCGAGTTATCGTTGGGCACTGAATCTCTTAGTGATACAAGCGCGCTTGCGCAAACCGCGTTGAAGCATCCGGCTGCGCCACGTCTCTGCGCGATTCGCACGGGCATGGCGCCTGGATTCCCAGGCCCCAAAGCATGGCGCCTAAATAGGCTGGATGCCGCTCGCAGCGGTAGACCCCCTCCTTGCAACGGTAGGCACGCAGGTGCTAAGTCGCGGCTTGCAAAATTTCACCCGGTCGCATGGAGACGCAGCTGCTTTCTACGACAACACCGTGGACACGCTTTACACAAGCATGTTTGCGCAAACTGTTGCGCATCCATGCACCAAAAACAAGGTTTATGTTTCATGTCAAAGTTTGTAGCTTTGGGGGGTGAGAAAATCCACGACAACCACAGCATGTTGAAGAAGTGATGGTTCTGCTCTTGATAGTCCAAATATACCGCAATACCTATAGCCTATATACTGTCAACCTATTTGTCAAATGGAGTTAAATTGAGCTGATACTCCAAAGCGGAAATCAGGGAAGTATGTTAAACTTCAACGCGTCTTATACATGTTGCGCATGCAAACATATGCAAACATTGCAAATGCGTCATATTCATTTGCAAGGTAGCACACATTAAATCATTAAGCACTGAAGCAAACATAGCTAACATACTCTCAGAGACTTAGATTAAACATGTTGACCAAAACCCATTTTCCGGACCAAAACCCACCGGGAACGACCCGCCCCGACTTGGTAAACGCAACTTGGACAATAGTCTTTCTTGCTGTATTATCGGGATACTGGACTGGATGCTGAACACAAAATTCGATCTTGTCAGCCCAGTTGCTGTGTTTTGCATTGCAAGATACCCAAATCATCCAGATGTACATCGGTGTTCTTCAACGGACCTGTAGCATCTTTTTAACCTTTTTAGTGGCAGCACTTCAATTCTGGGTTCTTGAAACTTCCCATGCTTCACACCCCCGCAAGCCTCTGTGGCTTCACAGCTTTCCGAAAAAAAGGGAACACCCGGTAGGAGGGGACTTCGTGAAGGTGCATGATACCGTGTTCAAGCTAAGACATGGCACATCCTCCGGTGGAAAGTGCTCCCGCAAAGTCATAGACCCTCCGGGTTCCTTTTGAATCTTTTGACAACCCACGGCACCTGGCACCGGAAATCCCGCCCGTGCCCAGGCACCGACTCAGGACCGGCCTGGACGATGCGTCGGTCCGGAATCTCCAGGCCGACGAACTCGTCGGACCAATCCTCCTGACATCTGCGTCCGGCGGGAAAAACGCTCTGCGTAGCTCACGAGAAGAAAGGCCGCGCCCGGCCGCGCCCACGCAATCCGGCCGATCCGGATCTGAAGAAGAGATCCGGACCAAGGCTCCTCGCCCGTTGGTCGCCGTGTTGTGGGGATGGGCGCCGCGAAAGCGCGCACGGCGTGGACAAAGATGGGATGACTGGTTGCAAGGGGTTCATCTGGCGAGGCAAAGCGTGGTCCGATCGCAGAACTGAAGCAGAACTTCAGCTTGGAAGAGAGGAAGAGAAAAACATTAAATTCCTGAACCAAACAACCTCGTGTGACTAGGTGTCTATATTAGCTATGGCCACTAGCCACTGTTTGCACTGGGCATTCGTGGCCTCCCATCCAGGACAAACGACCTAATGATTCAATTGATTGGACTGTCCTGCGCTGCGCTGTGCTTCTTTCAACCAGGATCTGCACTGTGCATGGTTTTGACATGGTTTACTATCTTAGACTATCTTGCGCGAGCTGTTGTGCTGGGCGTGGAGGTTTTTAGACTTCTGATACTCTAAAAGGCTCAATCTGTCGAAGGCCCATTTCTCAAAACCATCTACCTGCAACAATGAAAGACCTGAAGATCCATATTTTCATCCATTGCAGGCATCCTCCAACCAGCCAAACCCCGGCCTCTTCAGGCATATCTCGGCCTCGGCCACCCGGTTCTGTTGCTGTTCAGCCCCCCGATAGTTTATCAAACTTTGTGAGGCCTTCCCACGAAAAAGATCTGACATAACTTACAAATAAAAGATCTGACATGACTTACAAATACCTGCAATTCCATGTATATAGTTGGGTGCTTGATGCAAGGGTTCCAGGGTGCCCCTGTCACATCCATGGCCCCCTGGATGAGACGCGCCAAACCTGGAGGGTATTGTTTTCAATTGTTTTTGGTTTGGGGGGAGGTTTCAAAAGATTCAAATGCAAAACATGTATTTGTATTGCAAAACATGTATTTGTGTTGTTGAAAAGATTCTATGTTGCGATGAATTGCAAACATGATTTCCCGATGTTTCCCGCCTCCTGGTTGAAATCCCAATTGGTTGGTATATATGGTCGCTTTGCCCTAACCGGTCTGAACCCTGTCCGACATTCCATCTCTTGATCCCAGTGGCAGCTGGCCCAGTAGTTCCGTTGGCCAATGTGACTCGCTGAGGCGATCAGCCACTGGCAGTTCATGGAGATCAAAAATGTAAGGACACCAGAAACCAGGACAAAAGGATTGTTTTCGAAGGGTGTGACCCGACTGACCTGTTGGTGGGCCCTGGAACCCATACATTTGCACCATAGTATATGATCGATTCATATCATATCATACAAACCTACACCAATATAGAAAAACTAAAGCAATATATATATATATACATGTTTATTTTAGATTGTTGTAGCAGTATTATTGATTATCCGAAAATTTTGAAATAGATCTTGTTCTATTGAGAAAGTGTGGGGTGGATTTGTGCCAGTCGCTACCTCGTGACAGTTTGTCATAGGCTTGGTGCGAAGTTGATAATAGCTAGCAGACTTTCATGGCACTGAGTGACGCCAGCAAAGGCATCCGGGTTCTGTTGCAAAGTAAAGCGCAACTTGCAAGACCCTGGACTGCCAACATGTCTTGATAGATTGTTCTACATCATGATACGAGTGTTTGACCTTGTGCAGCCCAAACACGGAAGACAGCCCACTGCATGGCACACCGATGGAAAGAGTTCAACCCTCAATAAGAGGAAGTCACCCCACCATGTTGAACCCCCAATGGCACACCATCACCCACAAATCTGTCGACATACACTTCTTAAGCATGTTTGTGTGGTGTGCCGTGGTGCTTTGCTTGCAAAGTGCCCACCAAATGTCGGCTTCAATGCGTGTTTCCGCATGGCACACCGAAGACGCAGCATGTGTGTGCCTATGTGGGAGCATGGGTCCCAATTTGCTCTGCTCTTAGCTTGTGCTTTCTGCGTGGCACAGCGAAGATGCAGCACGCACCTCTCATGTGTAAACCTCCCCAAAACCCTACTGCTACCTTACGCGCGCTGGTCGCACGTGCGTGTGGCGCCCACCAAGTATCTATCTCACTTGGCTTCCACATGGCACACTAAAACAGGCAAGCCTCATGTGGGTGCACCTCCTAAAACCAAATGGCTTACGCCGGTCCTAAAAGTGGATGTGTGGGGGCCCACCAAATCTCGACTTCATTTTGCTCCCACGTGGCGCACTGAACAAGCAACGCGTGTCTCTCGTAGTTGCGATTGTCGTCCCAATGGCGCGAAGAATTCACCTGGAAGTTTCAGAAGCTCATCAGAACGGAAGAGCGCAAACGTGACAACCAGTGACATTCAGTCCGCAGATCTTGGATCAATACGATTGGCAAGTATGCTGTATGCTTGCTCGCCGTTACAACAGATGTTCTGGCAGCGTAGCCACTGCCCAGCCCGGCCTTGCAGACCCTCGCTTTTTCGCCGACGGCCGGCCCACGGCTCAGGCCCTTGAGCGCAAGGCCACGGCTCTTGAACACCGCCGCACTGCAAACGAAGGCCGGCGCACTCAACACGAATCTGTGAGCAAGCATGAGGTCACTGAGATCCATGGCCAGGTCATACGGAGATCAGTGGCCCAGACCTTCAATATGCAGACCCGCTCGACGGCAAGGGCAGGTGCAAGACCAGCGCTGTTTGACACTGCGAATCACACAAAGCTGTGGCTGGCCACATCGCCCTAGCCACTGACTCTTTATCTCCCATCAAGGGTTGCCTTCAATTGTCCGCATTTTTGGTTCGATTCTGATTGCTCAAATCAAATGAAGGCGTGTTCGCCTCACTGGCAGTTTGGGCTTGAGCTTCTTTAGCGACTACCTCACTTGCGTACGGCTCACGCAAAAGTTAACTCACTTGCGCACGCGTGAACTCCAGCTCCACTGAAGATCGTCCTTGTCAAAGGGAGGCAGCTGGAGACAAAAGAGGAACGAACCTTCCTGTTGGAGGCCAATGGGGCCACGTGTAGCATTGGCCACACTGTGAGCCACGCACCTGTTGTGCTTGAAGTGCCGTTGCTACATTTCCTGGCCTCGAATTCTGAATTGGCTCTAACTCCAGTTCACTAGATCCTCCTTGCTCAAGGGTGGCGGTAGCTGGAGATACGTCCCGGGAAAGGCCCTCCGTAGACTGCGCAAGTAGCCAGAGGCCAACAGGCTTTGTTTGGCAGCCGATTGAACGCAGAGCAGCTGCAGTAGCTGCACGGGTCTAGATCACCAAGCTTGCCAAAGGTCAGACTACAGGATTGGAGTATAAGAAACAAACAATAATGTAAATCAAAAATAACCAAGCAAGCCCCAATTGGGTCGTTCGTGGATCCAATCAATCGAATTCAGGAATGCTTTCAGGTGATCCTAGTTGGAGTCTGTGACTCTGGAGCCAACACTCCACAAATATCCAGGCTGACCCCATCTGCGAACCAAAGGATGAACGAAATAGTAGCAATCTACCAACTTTTGAGCTTGACTGTGTTTGTGCCTTCTGTGAGGCAGCACCGCCAAGCTTGACTAGCGCACGGGGCACCCAGGATTATCACCAATCTTCTGCGAGAAGTCTGTTGGTTGGGATTCACTCCAATTCTTTTGCATAGTTTTTCACTTTCTAGCAGCCTTGATTCTAAGCTCTCAACCTGCTGCTCACTACCTGTGTGCAACTTCGGAGCCTCATCGGAAGCTGCGTCGCGAGGAAGGGGCAGGAGAAAAACAGGCCAAAGAGTTGGACCTCTTATTGAATTTGTGGCGCGCTTTGCAATTACATTGTGAGACGTGATACGAGTTCGTTTACGCGATAGGGGTGAACCCACACGTAACAAGGACCAGATCCTAAATGACATACAGATGCTCTCTGCGCATAGTACTCCTAAATTATTATTTGCCGTTGCGATTGGCATAAGCACCTTGCAGTGCAATTAGCTCTATATGCTGAAGATGAACAGCACATGCACTTTAGACATCTTTAGACTTCGCATGTGCCTGGAGCATGCCATTCCGCAAGGCACACCGGCCGTGGCACGACTTTGCGGCACGAGAAATGAATCTGACAAACACGCAGCCTTTACTGTAATCTATGGGTCTGTGCCCCAAACCAATGAGATTTCAGTTCCTTTCACCTGTGTATAGTGGGGCTATGGATTGACCAATAGATCTATTTAAAGGCGTTCTTTGTTCCTCACAAGTTTGCAAACTCTCGACTTCACCCAAGTCTGTCCGGTCTTGGATCTCCCGGATGGGCCTGGCCACAAACACAAAGGGCGGCCTTAGGTCGTGCTAGCTTGGCAAATAAACGAGTTGAGGGCCAACAACTGCTTGAGACTAACCCCAACGGTCCTCCTTACATAGGGTATACATGCTGAATTAGAAAGCCACAATTATTCTAGCACCTGTAGGACCTTGCAGGGCCCAGGAGCAAAGCAAAACGTGCGAAGCTGAAACCAACATCAGTGTGATTTGGAGCGGAAGAATCAATCCAGTTGTCAATTGTTTATGGCCACGCCGCCACTTGCAGCGCTGAGTATTTTAAGAATATTAATGGTTTTCAATGTTCAAAGTTCTTCGCTCAAAAAACGTGTCTTTTGGGGCAAAAGATTCGTGTTTCACTTTCGAACCTGATGGTTGGTTTTATGGCTCTTACCGCAATGTAATGCACAATGAGACTGTCTTCGGGGATCTTTGGGGGATGTTTCTTGGTCACTGGGTGCTTCACTGGCGTCAACTGAGTGTAGTGCTATGGGATTGCATTCTCAATGAGTTGGTTTTCCCGAGGCAACTCCCTCCAGTGCTGGTGATGAGTCGATTTGAGTTGCGCGAGACTTGCATGGTACCCAGGTGGTGATGGTTTGCCAAAACTAGTGTGTGGGACCTGAGATGTGAGCCAGGAGTGCTGAGGGTACTGTGTTCAGTGTCTCCAATCACACCAACAATCGAATACTCGCCCTCATCAAACAGCCCCCAGCTAGTGACCAAAATCAATGAATTGGCAACTTACCTTGCAGTGCACCCACCGCTGTGGGAAAGAATGAAAGCACCCTTACACATATACAGCACCCAGTTCACTAGTCCCTTGCCTTGCTTGTCAACAAAGGCTGACACTAGTGTCACTATGATCTATTAGGTCTCTCATCAACTCTCCCACGTTATCCTACCCATCTTTCTTTGCATCGAAAGCACACCCAGCACAGCGAAGGCTCTCCAAATCTTGTAATCTGGAAACCACCTACAGGCGCGAAGACGTGGGCGATCGTCGTTGCACAACACACTCTGACATTGGTTTTCAGTTAACTCAATTCTGAAGTGGGAAAAGGCGATGGAACCGCAAGGTGAAGTGTCCAGGCAATTGAAGGTGTTTCAACAATTGGTTTATGCGCATCTGCAGAATCTCAACGGCAGCTGATGGCAGCTCAGCGGCGGAAAGTGGAAAGGGTTTTGGGGAAGTATCATGAAGGACCATGAACCAAAAACGGTAGGAGTAGAGTCACAGCTTGCGAACATTACACGTCAGCAGGTACGTGGATTCTGCGTCCAGAATCCATATCAGTGACTCAAAAACAGCCTCGTCGTTGGACTGCCGCTGTTAAGAGTCGGGCAGTCCCCCTGCATTCAAAACTCTTAGTTACAGAGGTTGACACACACACACACACACACACGGTGCCGCTTTGCGGCGCTCGCGCGGAGGACCTGAATAGGTACCTAGAAAGCCTTAGAAAAAAGACAGAAACACAGAAAGAGCAGCGCTAAGAGGGCAAGAGAGAAAGGTAGGAGTAGAAAAAAATGAATACTTAGCCCTTGACTGGGGTAGGTAAAGGAGCCTCAAGAACAACCTGAAAAGCCTGAGAGAAAGCCCAAGAAACGACCAAAGGCGCAAGAAGGAACGTGGGGGGCAGGGAGGTGTATGTACATGTGTGTGTGTATGACTACCTGGCACTCTAGAGTTACTGAATACTTAGCCGAATGAATTGGGTGCACTCGTTAGGGAGCGGGACTTTTGTCTTACACCGCCTGGGTAGAGTAGACTAGAAAAGGGACAACAGAGGGAAAGGCACCGACACACAAGTGTGCCGAGTACCATTTCCTCCCTCTGTTACCCTAATTAGAGGGGGGGGGGGTTGGGGTGTTTGGGGTAGAGAACACGTTTGGGTTTATTCTCCTTTGGCCCGGCGGCTTTGACCAAATCAAACCAGGTGGAAATTCCGTGAAGCCTGGTGGCGTAAGTTGCAGACAATACAATGGTGAAGCCAAATCAGTTAAGAGAATCCAAAGCATGGTGGAAACGGTTGAATCTGTTACACGAATTCCGGAGTGAAAACGGCGCCTCCTTGCGGAGGATCACACCCAGCACCCAAGTGGGACGACTGAGCGAGTCACACTCTGACATTGGTTTTCAGTTAACTCAATTCCCAAGTGGAAAAAGGCGATGGAACCGCAAGGTGAAGTGTCCAGGCAATTGAAGGTGTTTCAACAATTGGTTTATGCGCATCTGCAGAATCTCAACGGCAGCTGATTGCAGCTCAGCGGCGGAAAGTGGAAAGGGTTTTGGGGAAGTATCATGAAGGACCATGAACCAAAAACGGTAAGAGTAGAGTCACAGCTTGTGAACATTACACGTCAGCAGGTACGTGGATTCTGCGTCCAGAATCCATATCAGTGACTCAAAACAGCCTCTTCGTTGGACTGCCACTGTTAAGAGTCAGGCAGTCCCCCTGCATTCAAAACTCTTAGTTACAGAGGTTGACACACACACACACAGAGAACACACACACACACACATGGTCGTCTTTGATAGATCTGAGTGTGTCAGTGTGCCACTGGAGGTGCCGAGACATGCCGAGACAAAAGGAATGGATTGACAGGCACTTTGACAGGCTTGACAGGTCTCAACAAATGTGAATCATAGGCAATGGATTGAGGCTTTTGTCTTCGACTCAAGTGAATTCCATCTGCCAGTAACAAGTACCAGTGAAACGCACCAGGGGCAAAACCATGGGGGAAGCAGCCTCAACATGAGCTCCTTATCGGACTCTACAGAGCGGTGTGGTGCTTCCCTGTCATTTATGAAGGACTGGACACAACATGCCATACTGGTTTCAGAATCACATGCAGTATCTTCTGAACCTCTGTTCTTCACTGCCCCATCCAAGCAAAGCAATTCAGCAAACCAATTCAGCACCATCAAGCATCAGCATGTCTATATATGCGAGGAGTGGAGTGGACGCATGGTTCCTTGGCTGAGCTTGGCGAAGCTTCCTCATGCCAAACAAATTGACCAGAATCCGCTGTCATGCCTGTCCAAACAAATTTCATGCTAAGAGGCTAAGAGTCTAAGAGTTTAACCTTTAGGGGTTCAGTAGATTTTAGATGATTTTAGTAGTAAATCGCTTATGAACAGAAGGGACTAAGGGTCTAAGAATATACCAAAGGGAGGTATAGCGGTGAAACCTTTACAACTCATGAACCAAGGACCAACGTGGGCCAACTGTGCAAGACTTCAAGTCACCCGCTTACAGCCGCTGAAGGCATGTGTCGTATGACCCGCATCAAAGCATGTTGTGTTCGTCAGACCATGACTCGTCTTTCTTCTCCTCGTCGCGGCGATCAAGGACGTGACTCGACTCTGTCTGCCCCACAAAAGGTACAAACAAAGTGCCATGGGATTTACATTAAGGGTGGTGCTTGGAGTCGGGGATGGTTGGACGATGAGTGTACGAAGTGTCTGGAGTCGGACGTCGGAGTTTTGGGTGGAGCCTGGGAACATCTTAGTGAATCCCAGACCATCCATGGGACTGGAATAGTTGCATACCATCATTTCCCCCATCAACATGATCCTCATGTAAGTGACTATTCCAGTCCCATGGATGGCCTGGGAATGGACGAAACATCTTCCGATGTTGATTCATGTTTCTGGCATGTTCTGGCCTAAACAGATCCGTGCTGGACAACTGCTTGAATGCGAAGCATTCCACAGAGGTCCCTGGTCCAGGAGCCAAAAAGTCGGAAGTCCCGACAATTGGCAGCGACCCTCCCGTTGCGCGCCTCCACTCAAGGAAAAGCTCCAAACAGCTAAATACGCCTGCTGCATTGAACCTGGCGGAATGAACCTTCTTGCGACCTCACCGTCTCCAAATCGGTTCGTGTCTCTCCACCCTAAAGCCCTTATTTGAAAACACATCAAACGTGTGACTATAGACGGTAGCTATCACTGCAGCTATGACATATTGTGACCAATCCGTCTCTGACTCTCTCATGAGTATATATGCAGCCCTGTGGTATGTTTGGATATTTAGGATTGCCATTACAGGTCGTATTTGGCAGAGCTTTCCGCTTGCTTTCTCTTTCAGTAGCGAAGTGTCTGGCTGCAAGGAAGCGCAACCAGTCACATCAAACAACAAAAACATATCTGCACAATTCTGCACAAATATAGGTGTATGTGACTTGTTCAAAACTAAGAGACCCCTCCCAAAGACACCTTGTCACCAGTGAAAGGACAAACACATGAAACGAACGTCTTCGACTGGCTCAGTTGAGGTCGCGGATCTGGTATCCGATGCCGATATCTAATCCCAAGTTTGCTTCTATCTGCATATTGTTATGATGGGCTAAGATAATCCCCCTAGGCCCCTAGTTCTAGATTTGTATGCCGATATCATAAACTGGTCTGGGTTCCTGTCCTTTCCAAGACCCTGTACGACAATCTTGCACTCTGGTCGAGCTCAGCTGGGATCCCGACGCGGGGAACATGGGGAAAAACAGCGAGAGACCTGCGATTCGGAGGCGCAGAATTCGGAGTTGTCTAGTTTGCTTTTCAAGGGAATTGCAAACGCTAACGGGGGATGGATTTTGGTCAACGAAGTCGTGGTGCGAATTGGTTCAACTGGTTGATCTTCGGGGAGGAGTTCCCTAAATGAGAGTCAATGAGTCTGAGCACGAACATCCAAGCAGCAAAGCTTCAGCTACCTTTGGCATGTTTGAATGTCCATTGCATGACAAAGATTGACAAAGCAGTCCTGTAATTAATCCACCATCTCTCATTTTACTCGGCTTCAACTGCTGACAAGTGGCTGGTGATGTAGTCTGGTGGGAGCACGGTGGCTTCCATCCAGAAGGACTGACAGCAGGTGAGAGATTGATTGGTCACATCTGCACAAACATTGGGATTGGCCAAGCGCAATTTTGAGAATCTTCCAACAGGACAACACAAGTTTGTATAGAAGTAGGCCAAACTGCGGCTGCCTTTGGCAGGACAATAACGCGATCTACTCTCTCGCATAGACTTCTCTAATTATATATGGATTGGGCCGCGGTCATGTCAAGAAGCACAAAGACCGGTGGATGCTAAGGCCATGACATGAAAGTACAAGATGCCTTGGCTGCGAACATCTTTGGCTTCGAACCTCAAAGAGCCTCGAAGACCCCTAGGCCCTGGGCTGCCCTAGGCCCCCAACGCTGTGAAGCTCTTCATATTTGGAGGTTCCCAAGGAACAGTGCATCTTTGTGTTTCAGAACTATTCTCAGCACACACCGATCAAACATGGGAGAATGGTCAACACAAATAACCAAATGGGATCTTGTGACAAACACCCCGCGAAACTGGACTGCCAGTTGATTGTTTTGACTATGTGAGTATAGGATACTTCACAAACCAAACGGAAAGCAACAACAGGCAGGACCTCCTTTCTGGTGACACTCTTTACCACTGCGTATAACGCAACATCATATTCAAACATCCAGACAAGTTCTCTGAGCAATTCTGAGCATGTAATTATTTGCACAAGATCAAGTGCTACTTTCTCTGAGGAAATGGTCATTCAGGGTAGACATCAGGACGGGTCCGACATCAGGGTCTGACCTGGGGACCGCTGAGAAAAACGTAGCTCCATTTGAGCTCCAAAACTCGTAGTCTATATATTCAAAACATATGTTATCGTTGCTTTTACTTGAGTGTCAAAACATCTCCAAACTTGCAATTATTGGACATCAGGTGATTCTCAAGCTGCCTAGAGGCATGTTTTGAGGCCAACCACCGAGAAGGCATGTTGCACAAATAGCAACGTGCAAGCAGCGATCCAACCCCAAAAATGGACATGTGAGGTCTGCAACTCTACGTGCCCAGGAGGAAAAAGTGGAGGTACTACCGGAACAAAGAAACCTAGGATGCCACAAGAAATCCAACAACTGCGATTGAGTACGTAGGCCTACCTACCTACCAAATGGGTCATCATCACATCGAGGTGCACGAAAAGAAGACCAAAATAGACCACGGCCCCACGGAGTCTTCACCATCCAAATGGAGCATCCTCGCGCGAGCAAAAATTGGCACAGCGACCCACATCGGTGCGATCTACTGTGCTTTCTCGGATGAGAACATCTACCGTGCTGACCAGTTCGGATAGAAACAATGCTCAAAAATCAGTTCCAAGGATCCTTCACAGTTCTATCAGTCTATTATCCGGTAACTAGTTAAACAAAAATAGTAATAAGAACAAGAACATGTATAGATCTATCATATGTTACCTGCCGGGGAACCTAGGTTTCAATACTTTCTATTTGCATTTGCAGTGTTTTCTAGCTTTTTATAGCTTTTTGGATCGGTTCCGGTTGGACATGTTTGTCTTGGGGGGGAGTACCATGTAATACCCATATGTGTGTCTTTTTTGTAGGTATTTGCCGAGAAGAATTGTGAAGCCTAATGCTGACTTGAGGTACCTCATGCATTCTTAGGCATTTTTGTTGGCCTATATAATTGCACTGTCAAAACCAAATGGAAACAACGATTCAGAATGCACAGGAGGGTGGGAGAAAATCTATGTTGCTAGTTCCCACACAATGCTAAATCATTTTCACCTTTGGTGAAGCAAACACTCCTAAGTACCTTAGTGACGCCTCAACCAGAAGACAAAATGGCACACCCTATGCTTCAGGCCTTGCAAGGAGGGTAAGAAAACTCAAACAAATAAACATAAACAAATATCAAGTACTTTAATTAGGTGTTCCAGTCTTTTCTATCTATCTTATTATGTTGTTCCGGTTCATTTACACCGTATCTCCCTCAACTACTGAAATTATTCTCTGATGAACTTGATGTAAAATCAAAAGAACAAACTGAAATCATCTGGAAACCGTGTGAAATCTGCCCAACCATCTGCATACAAACATCTTAAAACTAGGTTCCGACCGGACGGAGAGCGATAGCACATACATACATACATACATACAT